CGGCGGTGCGACGCTGAGCCGTGGGGGCGCTGAGGAACGGCGACCCCCCACCTTCCCTTCCCTTCCCCTCCCGCCTCCGCAGCTTGGCTTTGAATTAAAAACCGTGCTCGCCGCCGAGCCCGCCAGCCCCTTCCAAAAACGCGCCCCGTCCGGTGGAAAACCGCTCGGTTTCAGCCCCGAAGTTCCTAAAAGTTGAGGCGGCTGCTCTGAAGAGATGAACTGCTGAGATGAACTGAAGAGACGAACTGGCAGTGTCGCTGCGCCCCCCCCGCAACTGAGCTTCTGCTATGTACTCCAGCTGCCACTAATCAATGAGGGGGGCCCCTACCCCTCTAATACTGCGGCACAGGACAACGTTCAGGTCTGCAGGATAAGGTCTAGGCAGCCTCTCCCAGTGCAGAGGAGCGAGTCTTGGGAGCACTCCCTCTGTGTGGCATCAATATATTAAAATATGTGTGTGTGTACATATATATATACATACATGTATACACACACACATATATATATGTACATATATATATATATATCTCCGTTGATGCGTTTTCCAGAGAGCTGCCCTCGCGGCATGGACCGGGCAGCATCGCATCCAGACGGAGCGGGCTCGTTTCCGCCGGCCGGGATCTCACGCTTGGTGGAAGAAACTCGCGCCGTGGGAGGGCGGTTGCGTGCCCTCCCCTGGCAGGAGAAGAGGGCGATTCCTCCTGCGCTGGGGAAGCACGGGCTCCTCTCCAAATTGAGAGGTGCCGCAGCCTCCTGGGGAAAGCTAATCGCCTTCAGAGGCAGCCATTTGCCTCCAGGGAAGGCTCTGGATTTTCTGCCCTGGCAGGCCTCCGCGCGGGGAGTCGGCGTGTTTATTGGGATGCTGTCAGTTGGTATTATCAGCTCCAGATATCGCCCACTTTTCCTGTCAGCTCGGAGGAATTCCTCGTCTGAGCGAACGCCTTGTTTGCAGCCCGACGCTCTGGCCTCTTTTCCTGAGCCGACGCGCCGCTACCGCCGCTTGTCTGGGAGCGGTTCTGCGAGCTGGGGTGTGCTGCCGAGGTGGAGGGGGGGGACGGGGATTGAGACGGCTTGGGTCTAGGTTTTCATCAGGTTACCAGACAGCAGCCGCTGCGTTTTGCGTGTCGCCCTGCTGCTTGCAGAGGGCTTTAGAGCTTTCTTTCCAAGGACGCGTAGAGACCAAACAAAACTGGAAAGTCTGCCCTAGGAAGTGCAGGATTTCAGGGGGCCAGGCTTTTGGCAGAACTGTGTTGTGGATGATCGCATTAGTATTTAGGACAGTAGAGATGCAGGGTATTTAACCATGTGCTTTGGTTAGAAAGACTGTCGGGAGTGCATCTCAGCTGGTTTTGCTAAACAGGTGTTGAAGGCTCGGGGTCTGTGCAGGACTCCATCCCTTCTCGCAGCGCTGCTTGTCTTTTCACGTGGGCACTGTCCCGTTGCTTTGCACGTGTTTCTCCACTCTGATCTGCCCTTTGCTGCTGCTGGATGGTCAGACTTCCTCGGAAGCAAACCTTTTGAGGAAAAACAAAACAAAACCCCAAAGCTTCTCCCTCCAGGTAGGTTGGATCCCATCTCTACAAGGAGAGCGTGCCGTTCACGTTGCAGGATGCGCTGACCTGTGCAGCGGGGGTAATGCTTTCAGCAGATTCACAGGGCGGCAGTCGAGATGGGGAAGGGGGGGGTGTCAGTTCATGCTTACCTGAGCCTGTTTTGACCCGTGAGTCCCTGTGTTTATGCAGCAGCATGGTGAACATGGCCTGACTTCTACTCATCTACAGCACTTCCACAATACCGAGTGGGGATGCAGATACATTGATCTCACCGTGCAACCATTAATGCTGGGAGGAAGTTTGAACTCTGAGGTGCAATGTGTTATCTGCATTGATCACAGCGACTGAAAGCTGTTTTTTTCAACTTTACCTAAAAAATTAATCCAGCCTGTGCTACAGAGACTCTTGGGGCGTCATAGGGGTAGGTTTGTATTGAGAAAAGAGCACCTTCTCCAGCCTGAGAGGTTCTGCTTCCCCCAGCCTTGTTTACAGAGGATGGGATGAGGCACCTGCCGTTCTGCCCCTGTGCAGGCTCCGCGCTTCTTAGCTGGTTCTTGGCTCGCGCGCTTGGGATATTTCGTTACGTGCTGGCTCTTCAGGTTTCACCCTAACGTGCAGTGACAAGTCATATATTGTTACAAGAACATCACAGCCAGGTAGGAAAATTTCTTTCTCTGTCTGACGCTGTGTGTGACTACTTGATGGGATGGCGTGGTAAACGCTGTATTGCTTTGGAGTACATCTGATTCAGATCCTTGTTCCTGTGTTAGTCACGAACATAGAGGCTGTAGTAAAGACTGCGTGAAATCTTTAGCTGTGTTTATTCAATTCCTAGTAGCTTGAAACAAAAACGCGTGTTAAAATTTTAGGTTGAAAACGTCCACGTTTTCTTTCAGTGCAAAGAAGTCTCCAGTTTTTCCCTCTGAAGAACTTGCAGGTGGTAAACTAAGTGGATAGTCACTTTTCAATTTGAGTAATAAGGAGCCAGACACGCATGCCCATTATACGTAAAGTACACACACACGTTTGGAGACTTGCACTCTGCTTACTTGAGACAGGCAGAAAGCTCTAGCCGCGTGCATGTGCAATGAGAGGTAAATAAGTAGTATATCCTGTCACAAATACTCCTTTAGCAGAAGCTGGATCTCGATGTCCTCATGCAAACTTGTAAGCTTTTGTTCTGAAAATGAATGACTGAGGAAGGGAAACAGCCTTGTTCCCCTCCCTTAAAGTGTGAATTTATTTTTTCCTATTTAAGGAACAGCCTTTGGCATAGGGTGTTGGAGAGACGTCTGTGCTCAGAGTGGCCTCTTTTCCTTCTATGAAGAATAAATCAGCGAGGCGGAGCTGGACTACAGAGAGAGGTTAGAGAGGGCCGTTACTGAAAAACATGAACGTGGAGTTGCACTTTGCTGCTTCCTCTCTGAGACTGAATTCCTGAATGCTTTGAGTCCAGCTGATGCTTTGTCCCAGTTATTTACTGGGCTCTAAAATGTCCCAAATTGAGCCAAACCCTCTACCCTCCCCCTAAAATAGCTCTACCCTCCAGAAGGGCCAGGACTCAAATGGCCCCTGATGTGGCCATCCTCTCTCTTGGTCTGTTTTTGAGTGTCACTTCTGTGAGTGTCAAGTAACATCTATGTGAAAAGAACTAACTGCAGGCAGAGCTTCCTGCTGCAGCACCTGCAGAGGAGGGCATTCCCTGCCGTGCACGGGCTGGTGCAGACTGCTTGCCGAGAGTGGTGCCTGCCCAGGAAAAACTCACCGGAGACGTACCTTCTTGTGCAAGAAATACGCGACACTGGTTTCCCTCTCTCCCTGTGCAGAGGGCATTTTGAAATATCAGGCTCTTCCTAGAGTCCCGAAGGTTAGTAAGATTCGCTCATTGTCTTGATCTTTCAAACAAAAATTGTTAAGGTGTATGGAAATCAGTAGCACTATCCCAGTTCTTCTGAGCAGCCTGTGGAAAGCATGTTCATGTTTCAGGCAAGGACATATAAAATGATAATGTCAAACTCTTTTTTTTTTTTTTTTTCTCTGGCCTGCTGCTGTGAACTGTAGTTTAAGGCTGACCACAGGACTCAGTAAAGTGATACCCTTGGCTGTTCATCTCTGTAGCCCAACTAGGCTGGTGACAGCAGTGCTGTTTCTGGCAAGATTTTTTTTTTTTTTTTTTAAATAAGCTTGTGATGAGAGAGTTTGCTCAGGTTGTAAGTGGGTTTATCAGGGGCAGAAGCAGTAAGCTCATGGCTGCAGCACCCTAGGGACCAGCACTGCACCTGTGCAGGGACAGCATCCGTCTGTGGAGCTGTCATCACGCCAGCCCTTCTACCAGTGTTAATTTGATTCTAACTGGTGTTGTCAATGGATGAAATCTGGGCTGCTGAAATCCAACCTCCCCCACCCAGGCCAGTGAGTCTGTCCAATACACGCTTTTGTCTGGCGTTGACAGGGGACATTTCATCAAGTAAGCAGTTTCTGGAGCGCTTAGAAAGTAGTACTGGAGAGCAGGCAGCTGTTACAGCCTTACCATAACATGTGCTTTTGAGGAAGGGAGAAACAAGGATGAGCGTGGTCCAGGTGCTAGGATAGAAACTTGAGGCTCCTGAAATAGGGGTTTAATTACCACGTTTGTCTTAGACCTCTTGTGCGATGTTGGGCAAATCTAGCTTCGCTGTGCTTCGGTTACGCATCCGTACTTTGAAAATGGAAAAAAAAATTGTGTGGGAGATCATGCATTTAACTTCAGAATAGGAGCGAAGTCTGAGGTGGTGAATGCACAAGCACATCACCCTGATGCAAGCTGTGCGTGGATTTACTCTGCCTCCTCTACACGCGCTCCAAGGTCTCAGTGACCGCAGCGTGGTCTATGTCATCTCCCAACTGCGTTAAGCTACCTTGCCTTTGGCAGAGTTAAAGGCATGCATGCATGCAGTTTCTTTGGAGTCCACTATTTTGGAAACGTTTGTGCAAAAAGAGCTTGGATGCATCTTCGTGGGAAGTTTGCATACTGGTTTGTTTCATATTAGCTTGCTTAAATGACTATGTCATTTGGCTGTAGGCAGGCTGCGGGGTCCTCCCACAGCCGCACCTGAGAGTGGGATGACTGGTAGTAGTTGCATTAGTGTCATTGGATACTGTTACAGGAGGAGTGTCTTTTCCCAATTAAAGAAACCAGTAGGGTGGACTCCTCAGTGAAATGTCATACCTCTCTATGGAAGAACTGCTTTCATTTAAGGCCTCTGTCATAAATATAGGTAAAGCTCTGCTCCTGGAAATCTGAAGAACAGTGAACAAGCATTTAGTGTGCTTCTCTTGTTTCACCTGGTCTTCATTTCCAAGTATTTCTACTGCACAGATAAGAGCACCATGTTTTCTTTCTGTTCTCTCAGTTCTTCTTTTTGCCCCTCTTCTGATGGGCAGAGGAGTATCCATGTGTGCAGGGAACTCCATCTTCAGGCTTTGCCCGGTGGACATGCTCGTGTGGGAAATACACAATTGTTCCTTTTTAAAGAGCCTCTCTGGGCTCTGTCAAGGAGGCAGGTGACTTGTCTTCCTAGAGCTGCAGTGGCCACTGCTGTCTGGGTACTGACTTCTGAGGTGAAAGTTACTTCACGGTGGATGCTCTCTCTTGAAGTCTTTAAAATTTCTGTTACCAATTCCCTTAAAGAAACTACAGAAGTATTGTTTCTCGAGGGCGAAGGTGCAGTGCTGGTTAGCCATCTCTCTGCTACAGTATATTGCAGCATTAGTCCTGGTAAGCAGCCAGGACCATTTGTGAGCTGTCAAGTGCAGAGCGTATCTTCTTTGCTTGAGATTAAAACTAGATAAATGAGGAACAGTGTTTAGGATGAGTTTGAAATTAGGTTTCTAAGCATATCTGGACACAGCACAAGAGTGTTTTAGATGTTTATGATACAGATATCTGCTGCTTTTAAAATGACATAGGGATCTGACTGCACTTCGTTTTGCATCTGCGTAAACTGGGGATTGTTCTTGTACGTACAGATTAAGAGTGCAGGATGAGATTAACCCCCAGACTGGAGATTGAAATAGGATGCGTTTCCTCAGCGACTGAGATATCTGAAAATGGAAGGCTCCGCATCTGTTGAGGGGTGTCAGCAGCATCCATCCAACAGCACAGCAAGTGCAGGAAGGGAATATTAATTATACCTCTCACAAATATTAGAAGTCCAGACCAACCTGGCACAGAAATATTAGAAGTCTAGACTAACCTGGAAGAGTTCTAAAATGTTCTAATTAAAGAAGGGAGACAGAAGTGAAGGAATGACATGTGACTCCTGACGGTCTGTAGCAGCTCACCAGCTCAGCGCTTCGGCATTGTTGGTAGGGAATAAAACCTGAAGTGCAAGTATAATAGGAAGCAGATGCCTGGGGAAAAATACTTGAAAGAGTTTGGGGTGGTGCTAGACTGTGGGCTGGGCCTGAGCTGCATTGCACTCTAATAGAAAAAA